AAAGCCTAAAGTGCAAAAGAAAAAACAAAACCCAATAAATAAATTTATTTCCTAATTATTCCTATTTATACTGAGATATTTTAAACCCCTGCTTCATAATAACTTGTACTGTTAATTTATTTCTTATGCCACAACAAAGTGCCTTTTTACACTTTTGTTAAGACTGCAAGAATTTGAGAAAGGTCACAATAGTGGGAAGTTTGTATAATATATGTGAAAATAGGCTAATTCTTACTTTAGTATAAATTATAATAATAAAATACTGTAGACCAATGGCATTTATGTGTTTTCCTTTCTTGGAAATGACACTTTTTTCTTCAATATTTTAAAATTTGAAATTGGTTATTTTTCTTTCTATTTTTAAAATAAAATGTGACAGCTGTGAAATATTCAAACAGTAAGTAATGTATTAAATAAAAAGTAAAAGCCTGATCACACAGCAAGATGGCAGAATAGGAAACCCCAGATAGCATTTCCCCAGTGACTTAGCAACTGTATAGAGTCCAAAAAGCCTTCATGAGAACTCCAGAAATTAGTTAAGATGTCATAGTACACCAGATAAGACCAAAGCCAAGAACAATCCACTGAAATAGGTAAGAAAAGCCATTTAATTTCACTCACAATTACCCTTCTCCAAGCCAACACACCTCTTGAGAAGACTATACATGGAAGCTGAGAATGAATATAGAGAAAATCTGGGGATGTTTACTGGTAAACACCGTTACACACGAGAAACTGAGTGATCAGAGTAGCTAGAAAGGCAATGGTGAGCCCAAGCCCAAGGCTACTTCTCGAATGATCAAATGTCCACCAAAGGCCCAATGACAGAATGGCTAAAGTCAAGGACAGCTGAACATTAGTGGCTGCCTTGGATTGAATGTCCCCCCAAAACTTAATCTCTACTGTACCTGTTGAGGGTGGGAAATCCTATTATGGTAATTGAAAGTGGGACCTTGAAGAGGTGATTGGATTGTCAGGACTGTACCTTCAGGAATGGATTGATTCATTCTTGGAATAATGGGAGTAGTTCTGGTGGCTTTAAAAGGAGAGCATGTGAGAGTCTCTTTCTCTCTGCTCTGCCATTCCACCCTGTCACAGTCACCACCAAGGCCTTCACCAGATGTGTTCCTTGGACTTTGGACTTCCCAGCATCTAAAACTATAAGCAATAAATTTCATTTTCTTTATAAATTACCCAGTTCCAAGTATTTTGTTAAAAGTAACAGAAATGGACTAAGACATTGGCACAATCCAATTTAACACTGGCATGATGAATGCCAACAAAAACTGCCATATGGTGTGTGATACTGACCCACTCTCTTAAACTTGCAGGGTTCTCCAGGGTGACTGTTGATACAGAGGTAGAATAAGCTGACAACAGCAGCTGCTGTCCTGCAACAGGTAGAGACCCACCAGGTGTAGATGGTGGCAAGTATTTCCTCAGGGGAAAGGGTGACATCCCCCTGGAGCTGCAGCAAGTTGAGCACCATCACCAAGGTTAGGACAAGCCCAACTATATGAGCTTGATGATTTCCCAATATTTAAATATTTTTGATGTGATAAATGGTGATATTAACAAATGTGATTTTTTTGGTATTATATAATAAACTGTGTCAAATTTGGAAGATCTACACAACTCAGTAAACAAATATTTTCTAAATGCCTAATGCATGATGTTATGAAATCATATACATGTAAAAAAAATCCATTCAAAATGCAAGACAGACCAAAAGATTTTAATTAATAGATTAGGAAAAGTTTATTGATATGATTTCAGATTCCACATTGCAACTAGCCTTTACAAAATAATCACTTGTTGAGTTTTGGCATAGAGTGAAAGAAGAATATTCACAATTATCTAAAAAAGCTATTAAAATACTCTTCCCTTTTCTAACTACATATTTGTGCTTAGCCAGATTTTCTTATATGTTTCAATCAAAACAACATATCACAGCAGATTGAACGTAGAATCAAACATGATTCTAAGTCAGACTTTCTTTCAACTCTCTTTAGATTTGAAAAAAAATGTAAAACAATGCTACTTGTTAAGTTTTTGCAAAATGTTGTTATTCTTATAAAAATGTTAATTATGTGAAAGTTGCATATTATACCACCCCAAAATATGCCACTTTGGCATAAGGATTATTTTGAGCCAAAGGCACTTTTCAAAAAAACAGCAGGTAAGAG